GAGGGTCTACAGGAAAGATTTGGTTGGTGAGCTAAATAGGATGATAATGCTCTCCCCATTTTAGGTTTCAACACAAAAAAAATAATCTAAGGGCAGAGACTTGCCATTATTATTATCCCAATTAGCATTAATCTGACACCTGAAGAAGGCTCCACGGCCCGAAACGTTGTGTTCTCTTTCTTCTTTTTTTTCAGCATGGAATAAACCTATTACTTGTTCCTTAATCTGATGTTTTCGTCCTAATTTGGCTGTGGACTAAGTCTCTGACTGATGCTGGGCAGGCATCTTTACATCTCTCAGATCCAAGCTCAAGAGAACTGGGCGTGTGAGCTGTCCGCCGAAACCTCTGTCAATGCCATCCTGAATCACTTGTTCAAGAGTTGTTTTTTATCTAAATTGCTCGCATGCATGTGCAAAGCAGAGCGCTTTTAGAAACTGAGGTGTGTTCTGCTGTGCACTTGTCCCCTGAGCTATCAGTGAAACGTGCAGAGAAGCGATCCGAAAGGACAAAAGGAGCGCCTGAAGGCTCGGTCCCATTTGAACACTCCACACCAGAGGCCGAGAGCTGAGGGATGGGTGATAACGACCTTTGCAGCAGGTGCCAGCCAATCCTGAGATTAAGGTCTAATGGCCCATCACAGTGTCCCTGAGCCAGCCTGTCTCATGTAAACGAGCAGGTCCGCACAGCAAGAGGGCACCGGAGCCACGTGTGTGGATTGGAGACCAGGGCCTCACTCAGACAAGGGGCAAAGGCCAGATACAACCCGATTGGCCGGTTTCTGATTCAGCCAATGAAAGACATAGCTGGTAATCCCTCAGCAGGGTTTCTGGGATAGGAAGCAGGCGCTAAAGTACCTTTCAGGAAGCGCTGTGGGTATCAGAAGCGAGCTGCCTGGGCAGAGCACACAAGCTGCCCCCTGGGAGGCCTTCTGACAAACCACTGGGTGAAACTCCGGGACCAACAGGCAGCAGACTTCCAGGTAAGCACCAAGGCCCAGTGTCTTTCGCCCTCGTGTCTTTCGTTGGGGCAAAAGGAGAAAGGAAATGTCTTCTGTCGGAAGGCTTGTGGTACCTTGTGTGAGCTGCAGCTGTGTGCTGACAGGCCAGCTCCTTCTGTTCCCCTCGCTTGGCTCACTGCAGCTCCCCGACGAACACTCCTCCTGTGCCCAGGACACAGGCAAGGTGAACAAACCTCATATTGAGGAATCGGAAAAGCAGCCCAGCTCATCTGATTCCAGTCACCTTTTAGGGTATTTCCTGCTATTTCCTGGTCCAGGTGTGTTTTTTTCTCCAGAAGCTCTCATTTTCTAACCACCAGGAGTTCAGGAAGGGCACTATAAACAGGGGGTCACAGGTTCAAATCCACCTGGTCCCTCCAACTGGCACTTTCTAGCTACTCCGTGGATCCTACTAGTTGCTTAGTTGGTCGGGAACTTTATCTCCACGCCAGTGAATATCAACAGTGTTTTATCAGTGTTTATTTTCTTAGAAAATGTTTTTAGCCATTTAGAACTTCAAAGCACACTTCCAAAGTGTTCGAGGAACTCCAGATCAGCTCCACGGCTGAAAGCAGACCTGCTTGCAGTTTTCCCCGATCCCATGATTTCCAGGGCGAGCGCAAGTTTGAGCTGTGAGCGGAGAGGTCGAAGGTCGGGCTTTTAGCACAACTTGCTGTGCCGTTTACTCACATCTATAAAGAGAGCTTTCAGACCGCGACTTATGAATCACAGGGGCCCTAACAAAAATGTCTATGGCACACTGCATTTTACATCGAATGCTAAAATAGTTTCTTTTGTTCAGGGCAATTCCATGTTCCTTTACAAATTACTTCTGGTGGGGGGAGGCAGTACAATTGAGCTATTCTTGTACGTTCTCTTCCGTGCGTGGGTGAGAATAGGCACCAACTTGCCCAAGGAGACCCGAAACTCGCCCACTCCTGACTGTTTCCACCACTCGTGTGTTTGTGAATTTCAAGGTGAAAGACTACCTTGTCCCAGTGAAGCCGGTGAGCAGCCGTGGGTATCGGGGATTACCTAGCGCTGTTGCACTGATGTCGGTAGCGTGAAATCGACGCCCAGACAGAAGGAGCGCAGATTCACTGTCAGGGGATCAGGACAGGAAGCGATCGTGTTGGCTTCGTATGAGCACTGTCGTGCGAGTACCGGCCAGCTGCAGCCTTCGTGCACCGATACCATTTTGTCAGACCAAAGTGCTGAAATATTTAAAGCAGTTGTGCCAGTCTCGAGGGACACGGAGAGAAGCCCCAGTGTCTGACTCGGTACCGCACCTCCGCGGGACACTTCTCTCCCGCTCCCCGACCACATTCCCAGGTAGACGAGTAAAGGAAATGGGATCATTTGTTGTCTATGCCCTCCTCTGGTTAAAATCGAGATTTAAAAGCATTTTGATGCGACTACAACAGCAATATATAAAATTATATGATTTGCGACCCTGTTTTCACCTCTTCCTCAGATTAAAGTAGACGTCTTACGGTAGAGTGACGGTCATCTTTACGGATATATCTGCAGAAGAGATATATATATATATATTTGATATAAATCTGCAGAATGTCGTTTTTTGTGTGTCGGCGCGTCCGGTTATAGTCAGGACAGTTAAGGAGCGCTAACTCCATCATGACACCGAGCCGGTGTTGTTTGTTTCGGGGGTCAGTAGCTCCACGGTGTCGGCAGCGCTGATGGCGATGGTGACTAACAGACGTGATCGACTCCTCGTTCTGTCTGGTTAATGACTACATGATCGGACTGACTCATCCCCCACACACAGCCCCCTTCAGTCCGTGTCTCCGCAGAGAATGAAAAACACGTCCTTCCCTCTCACACACACACAGAACAACAACAACTGTGTCCAAACACCGTTAAGAGCAAGACCAAGCTCGCCCCGGGCTCGGTTTGAGGTGTGTGTGTGTGTGTGTGAGCTTTCCAAACACTGCCCTGCTAACACGGGCAGAACACTCTGTCCTGAAGCACCGACCTGCAGCCTCGCAATTCCGACTCTGACAAAAGAAAGCGCCTTCCTCCGTTTCACACCTCGCTCAGGCGCTTGGCACATCAACCTGGATTTCCGAACGAAAAACTTTGAACTTCTTTCCGTTTCTTCATTTACATGTGTCGGGCGCTTGCTGTAACCGGCTGTTAACAGCTCCGGTGGCGCCTCGCAATTGAAATATGTGATTTTACCAATACGATCTCTAGCCAGGGCGAGAGGCGCCTCGCTTTAAATCGTGGACACTTCAATCGTCAAGTTTGCCATCATTGAGAAATGGATTTAGGAAGCCGCTGACCTCGATTGAATGCCTTGCTACGTCTCATCCTACCCTGTACGTGGCAACCGTCTTATGCTATTCCAAACACATGCGCTCCAGAAGTATCTCGACATCAGTTAAGGTTATTTCTTCTGAGTCCTTCAGCGAAATTCACCCATGAATTAAAACCCGCGTCTTTTGAATTGAAATAAAAATGAGAGAGCACGAGAAAAATAAATGACCCCTTACATTTAAAACATACTCATGCGACAGTCAATTAAACACATACAACTGACCCTATGAGACACTTCAGAAAGACGCATTTTCTCATTTTCGCCTGGAAACAGTGACAGGCAGGTGGCAGCACGGCTTCAATTATCAGTTGGCTAAATGCGCCCACTTTCCACCAGAGGGCGATCGCGGGCCGAGATACTGAGCACCGCCGCGAAAGTGCAGCGTCACGCAATCCGGTTCAGACTGTTAGCAAGTTGCCGTGCTGGGGAGCAGTTGTTAACTCAGGGCATGTTAACCACGTTAATCTGTTACTGTTATCATTCGTAGCAACCATTTTGACTGCATTTCATTGCAAATTGCTCTTTCACACAGCAAACTGTTGCAGTCAATTTATTTTAAAGATTATTTTTTTTCTTCCCAATAATAGTAAAATTATTTTTTTGTGTGCAAGCCTCACGAAAAAACACAAAACGTTACTTAACAGAAGAAGGGCAAATAAATTGTGAGGGCTATTACCCTGGAATTACCTCATGCGGGAAAGTTCATGAAAGTTGCGAGGCGTTACAACATGTACCTGCAGTGACTGCCTGTGACCACTAGGGGGACCCCCCGATAACAAAGTTAACGTGGAGCCGGTTTTCATTTGAAAACTCGGGGTTGCTGCAGTGTGATTTGGACAGTTGCTTATCAACAGTTACTGTGCACGGCACACAGCAATCGCAAAGCACAAAGAGAACACCAGTCTGCATCTAGCATTGCAACTCTTCCTAGTGTGCTTACTAAACCTGTTTTGTTGTACTGAAATTAAAAACCGATCGTGATTTTTCATAACTTTGTTATGGAAGTTGGGCCACCACAAAAACCAACAGAAATTAGGTATGCGAACACTGAAGCCCAGTGAAGACAGCGTCAACAATGTAGTGCGTGTCTCTGCGCCTCGTCCATGAAAACGCAATTAACCGCACAGGAATGCGGACGCGACGACGCGCAGGTTATGAAAATTCCAGGTAACACATCTAGAAATCCGGTCTTGCTTTCTGGAAACTAAACGTTGGAGGATGCTGCAGGTTAAAAAAAAACACCCCGATACATCTAGAATAATACATGAAGTCGGATCGCGACAAGTTAATCATATGACATTCTCAGATGAGGCTGTTTTATCCTGTCACGCTGCCCTGTCAGTTGCACAACGCGTCCTCGGTTCTGCATGAGGCGCAAAGTCCCCCTCCTAACACGAGGAAAGTCAGGTGCTTCCAAAAAAGACGCGATCATAAGATAAGCCGAGTGGGGTCTGGTGTTGCAGTCCCCTTGCAAGAGAAGAGACACTGGGCCAGTACAGAAGCACGCAAATCCCCGAAAAGTATCACTGTATTGCTTTGCAAACACCTTTCAAAAGTTTCATGCAAGCGAACAGGTCCTCGCTGTCGACAGAGCTTGCAGCGAGCCGACATTTCAGATGTGCTTTTATTTACCGAAACTCCTGCAATTATTTTCCTACTATTTTCACTTTTGTTCCCGAGTGAAAAACGGCGTAAGGAAACAGTCCGGGAATTCCAGAGGATTCGAAATTCAAACAAACACGGGTGAATTTCTTTGAGGGGGGGCCGGCCTGCTTGCCCAGAGAGTCGAGACGCGGGAAAGTGCACAGAGGGAGCACGGGAACGGTGAATTGGGGGGGGGGGGGGGGGGGGAGAGAGGCTATCGCGCCCCACGTGGGCTCAGAGCGATACGTTCGTACGGGCCGTCCAATGGTTGCAAAGGCTGAGCTCGCTCTTGAAATCCTCTGGCCAATCAGAGCAAAGGGCTGCAGACCCGGCCTCGCCCACATGAAAACACAATATATAGTCGTCTGCCGCCGAGAATATCCCAGAAACTAAGCGAGCGGACTTGGATATACAAACCGGTTTATTGTAACTCAGGCGATCGGACTCGGTTACAACGACTCTGAGCTGCAACGTTTGGATTACTCAGCCAGCGAGTACCTTGTTACACGGGATTTTAACTTTGGAGTTTATCCGGACATTGTGGATTACAACAATTTGTATTTCAACATGACTCTGGAAGAAGTCGTTGGATGCAGTATCGCTGACCAAAAGTAAGTAAACGCTCTAAAGAAGTTTTGAGTTTCACTCACCTGAGCGCTGTGCTTTGCGACTGCACCTTGTAGCCGGGTCTCTCTTTGACTGTGTAGGGCTGCACATCGGCTCCTGCGAGCTCTGAACAGCTGGGATCGCGCTTAGCAAGTCCTAACCCCGGCTCCCTGTTCTCTCTTGCAGGATGGAAACCGTGGCGCAAGCTTTGGAAGAGCTGCTGGTGACGGCTCAGAGACAGGACAGCCTCACGGTGGGGGTCTACGAGTCTGCAAAGCTAATGAACATGTAAGTATCCGTTCATCTCATCGGCCGGGTACGTGTGATGAAGAGTCGAGGTGTCTGTGCTTCCACGTCTTGTATTATCGCACCGTATTGTGCGTTAGGGAGGTTGCAGAGGAGTGCAAACTGAAACTTAGCGAGCGGGGCGGTTTGCAGAGCCCGGTGCCCGTGTAGTAACGCTGTATCTCCTCCGCCCGCAGCGACCCCGACAGCGTCGTGCTCTGCATCCTGGCCACGGACGAAGAGGACGAGGACGACATCGCCCTGCAGATCCACTTCACGCTGATCCAAGCCTTCTGCTGCGACAACGACATCAACATCCTGCGGGTGTCGGGCGTGCAGAGGCTGGCGCAGGTGCTGGGCGAGGCGGGCGCGGACTGCAACGCCAACGAGCCGCGGGACCTGCACTGCCTCCTGGTCACTGTAAGTGTCCTACAGCGCTGTGCCCGGGGTGCGGGAGGGGTAGCAGACCAGCAGTCGTGGCTGAGACGCAGGAGGTGCTCATTCGCGGTGCTCATTCGCATGCTGGGCATGTGTCTCTTCAGTCCGGGTGCAACATTCAGAGCTGGCACCCGTGGTCCAGAATCGGCATTTCTTAGCGAATTCGGGGGCATGCAAAACGGGGTGGGAGGTCCGGGGTTGCTCGGAGCCGCCCGTGAGACGAGCCGGCAGCTCGGCAGTATCGCGCGTCACATGGCCCCGTGCTTTCAGTTTCGGGAATACAGGCCAGCGTGCTAATGATCCGCCTTCTCCCCTCCCAGAATCCGCACACCGACTCCGGGAAGAGCCAGGCGCTCAAGGCCGTCGGCAGCTACTGCGAGGAGAGCCGCTGCCAGAACCAGTGGGTCCCCTTCCTGGCGCTGCAGGAGCGCTGAGGGGCGCCGGCGCCCCAGCCGAAGCGGAGGACAACAGCGACATTCTCGGGGGAAGGAAGGAAATAAATAACTAAAAAATGTTAGGGTGTATTCAACAACACACACACAACCGCACGGCCCTCGGCTTGCAACGAGCAGTTGGAAAGGAGCTGGGAAAGAGTGGACGGGACAGGGCCGGGCCCGGAGGCCGCGGTCTCGCCGCAGAGCGGAACACCCCTGGCGGGGGACGCCGAGGGGGAACCCGGCGGGCCGGCGGGCAGGGCGGCGGAGCAGCGCCGTGGTGCGACGGGCAACCCTGCCAGTTTCACAGCGCCGAGGGGGTGGCGGCGGCGGCGGGAGGGGAGGGGGGTTAGACTGTCGTGACGATTGCCTTGCCTGTTGCAGTAGGGGAGACGTGACACAAACCCAAAAAATCCCCCGGACACACACGGTGGAGAGGAACGGCGCTCTGACTAACATGCAAACCGGCAGGAGACGGCAAACAAGAAACCTGTGGGAGTGTGCGAGCAGAGCGGGTTCAGCCGCTTCCCAGTACACGGACTGCAAGTGACTTTCAAAGCTCATGTCAGAACCCACACCAGCACTCCCGCTGGTTTCGCAGCGATGTGGGTGTTGAGGGACATTCACATGGGCAGTGCAAGCTGGGTCTGGAATGTATTGAAGTGTCGAGATGAAATAATATATTCATTTTTCTATTTATGAACGTGTTTTCGAATGCCAGTTTTCACTTGTTTTGTTTTTAAATAAATTATTTGGATTGGAAATTGAAGTTCTTGTCTCTTTCTATTGGCTCTCATGCTGATGTGGCTCTTCTGGGCAGAATGGGTGGGGGTGCACCCCCATTGGTGGGTTTTGGGGTTCAACATTGCACAGTAAACTCCAACAGTCTGTTTCAAACTATTGCACTCGTAGCAGTGTGCAATAAGCATACATTTATTATCCCTTTGTGTTATAATTCAAGCTCATCCTCTTATTGCAGAACAGCCTAATGCTTCAGGAGCTGTTCTGGCCTACAAAATAAAGATTCACTAACTCATTGAAGTGAGGCTGGATCTCACTTACAGAAGCAGAGCTCCAGTTTGGAATAGTTCCCAGGGTACAAAAAGGGCACCTCGCTCACAAAGTTGCATTTCTAATCCTGTTGCAAATTTTCTTTTTCAAAAGACTTGCAGGTTCCACAATTATGAAATGAAAGGACAATGGGGGCCTTTTTTTCCCAAAAGGGATGTTTGTGTGTTCTGGGGGAGGGGGGTGAACTATTGCTTTGTATGCACATTTCCTCATTTTAAAAAGGAAATGTTTCCGATTCAATACCCTTTTCAGAATTCAGATATCAGGTGCTTTCCTCAAGGACAGAGCAGGGGCTGCAGAATGTGGGATATGAATGTCTTTGGGGCTCGGGATAAGAGCTTTCTCTGCTTGTGTTGAATGCATCTTGCTTTGCAACTCTGAGGGTCCACGCAGAAGATGCTTCAATAATCTCTGACCTTGTAGAGTCCCTTGAATATCTGCCTGCTTGTTATCTCAGCTGTCCCACCACTTCAACATAGCTATAAACCTTCTCCTCCATGATGTGTGCAGTTCTGCTTGCAGAATACAGCAGCCTTCATCCAAAGCCAAGGTTACACGAGTTTAAGGATCTTTTTTGGAAGATTGGAATCTCGCTGGGACCTACAGCCCTTCCAGGGAGAGAAAAAAGGGATTTGGAGAGCTTAGCCACATGAGCTGCTGCTACTGTGGATCTGGTTAAACTCAAGCTTCCGAGTTCAAAGTGAAATTGGCTGAATATGTTCAGGAGACTGAAAAAGCATGCAGGCTCAAGGCACTTCAATGCCAGCTTGGAAAGAGTGATCTGTGATTCTGGGCTGCTTGGCAGATTTTCGGTCTAGGCTGTACATCCGCAGGGAGCCCATGACTGCTCAGCAGGAACGTGCACTACCCAGTCACAGCAGTAAAAAAAGTAGCCAGGAATGTCCTTGGTTCTCAGTAGCGTCATTTCCTTCAAGACAAAGCATTTGCGACTCTCCACCTTGCAGGGGAGGGCTGAGCCAGTGACGCAGGGCTGCTGTTTGATTTGGCAGGCTGTCTGGGCTCCGGACAAGCCAGCAGGCTGTTAGCAGCACCGGCTACACGTTCACTGGGATCCTCAGTGTGCTGTTAAATACACGACTGCAAAAGCTGCGATTATCTGGAGACTGTCCCCTGACAGGAAGCCACAGACTCCCAGCTAGGCAGCGTCTGTGAAAGATAACAACTGCAGCTCTATAAATCCCATTTCCTCCATGCTTCTCAACCGGGGCGGAGTGTGTGTTAAATTTAGCCGCCGTGGAAGGTGGGCCGCTATGGCAGGAGTGGAGCTCCGGCACGTTAGCTGTGGCTTCGCCTCACAGGACGAGAGCCGTGTGTCGACCAGGAGTCTGCAGGCCTGGTACCGGAGATCCGGTCTTTCCCAGTTTCTTTCCAGCCAAGCGCCGAGTGCGCTTGATTGGATCAACCTGTGGCTTCATTAGCAGGAGTTAACCGCTTTCCAGATCCGTAATCATTGATCATCTCAGGCAACACGAGACGCCTGTAGCACCTCCGCTTTCCTAGGACAAGGACTGCAGACTTTGTACCTTCTGGGCCTGCAGCAGTATCAACGGTTATGCATTTATTCAGAGATGGGCCCATGCAATATCACAATATTTTACTTGTTTAGATCAACCGGTCTGTCTGATTATTATTTTCACAGACTTGCAAGCCAGATATTTGGTCAATTCTGAATGCAGCGTGATTTTGGGCTGCATAATTTCTGCACCTCCTTCAAAACATACGGCAGAAATTTGAAAAGCTGCTGGATTTTTTTTCCTCTCAAAACAGAGCCCCTTTTAAATTCCTATAAGTCTAAGTCTAAAAATATCCGTTTATGGGTTCCCTGCCCGAGCACGACAACTTTCTGTGAATTGAGAGCAATCGTGGGTCAGCAACACCTGCGGAAAGCATATTCTTGGTAAACGCTTTTTCAGAATGGAAAAATGTAAAAAATGAAATCATAAAATGCTTCTGTTTCGTATCTAAGTGTGTACGTGCTTCCTTGACTACCTGACAACTCTGGTTTGACCAGCCTGAGATCCTTCTGCTTCTCTCATCGCCTGAGCTCCTGGTTTACTTAGGTGTGTCAATTATTTTCTTAATTAGTCAGCAGTGTTCGTTTCTAGCGATTACTGCTTTTAAGACTCCTACAAAAAGCTGCAGGACTGTAATTGTTTTGAAGCTTTATTACACTGAATGGTGGAGCGCGTGAAATCTGTGCGGCCTGCCTGCAGGAGACAGGACCTGACCTCCAGAGAGACCAGCTGACGCAATCGAAGGGACATCAGCTGCAATGTTTTGGCTGCCTTTTGTCTTCTGCCTCTCAGATCAAGAAAACATCTTTCCTCGGCGTAGAAGCAGCCCTGATCTGCACAGCGCACTGGGCAGTCTCCTGCGGCGGCACACACAGCAGGCGTGCAGGTCGCCACTCGCCGTCCAAGAAGGAGGCGGGAAGCAGGCAGCGGTGGGGTGCTCCCAGGGTCCTCGGGCACAGCCAGGGCGGCGCTCCAAGAGAACGGGCAGGGCTGCGCTGCGGGAAGGGCACGGATTCGGACTTTTCCTGGAAGGCTGGAGGGGACGAGGTCATCCCATCAAGCGCACAAAGAGTTCTGGTGGTTCCTGCTACACTCAGAGCAGGACTTCACCGCACTGCAGAGGAAGATGTGCGACGTGTCACCTTTTCACCCTTCCTGCAAAGCCTGCTGGAGCGCCGCTCAGAGTGGACGGGCTGCCTGGTGCCCAGCGTCCGGGAGGGATTTCTGTTGCACGTACAGCAGCTTTCGGTCAAGCCGGGGCAGAATTGTAGGGAGACGATTATATGACAAACCTGCCCTTTCTAAAAGTGTTTTGTCAGAGTTCAGACTGCTGGGATACATCTATAGATTTAATGGTTTAACAAATCTAAACATGTTTGATCTTCACCCAGTCCTCATCACGTCCTTGTAGTAGACCTAACCTAATGGACTAACCAAGTTTGAGAACATTCAACTTTGTCATTATTTATCAAACAACAATCGGCCAGCATAGAATGATAAAAACGTAAGTCCACCCCTTGACTCAGTAACGTGTGGATCTGCCTTTAGCACCAATGACCTGAATAAAACATTCCCTGTATAAGTTGATCGGTCTCTCGCATTGCCTGTGGTGTAAGTACGTTTTCACCAAACTGTAAAACAAACGTGCCTATTTTTTTTCTTCACACTGGATGCAGCAGTTGGGACTCAAAATCCACAAGATTACGCATTCTCTTTGACATTTCTTCCTCAGTACAAATTCAGATTCCCTAAATATTTACAAAACCCTGGGCTGAACTTTACAGAAAACACTGCTGATTGAATCCTCCCACCCCATCATGCAAACGCAGCCTGCAGATTCCTGCAGTAAACACAGCAACTGCAGTTCAAGCCAAACACTGTAAACTGAAGTCAACTAAACAAACAGGCAGGAAAACCTTTGTTCATCCTTGTGGACCCGGAGTACACACTGAGCTGACTTACACTGGTTAAAGTAAAATACTTCAGAGGCAACCATCACTCCTCCTTCCAGCTTGTACTGGAGTGAAGTTAATAATCCTCTAACACAGTGTCCTTCAAACCACCATGTGCTGCAGCTGGACTCTCTCCACAGCCAGCAGTGGTTAATGTGCAAGGCCGCCGCACCAATCCACAGACACAGCGCAGTCGCAGCCAAAAGTCATGTTGGAGGAACTGGAGTTGCCCGTTAAACCTCACAATCCTGCAATCCGAAGTGCCGGGGCTCTTGGCAGCTCCCACAGCGCTAGTGCCTCCCCCTGCCCCTCGTGCTGGCAGGCTCCCCTCTTTCCCGATCGGAATGAGAGGCATTCCTCGGCTCCCGGGGAGCTGCCCGTGGCTGCGGCCAGACGCGGATAAAGGGGCGTCCAGACGTCCGCATGACGGGGGGCTTTCCGCGGTGTCGGGTTAGCCCGGGTCCCCAGGCTGCGGCGTCTTCCTGCTGGGCTCGCGCACGGTGAACCCCGGCCGCGTTCCCAGACGTCGGTGGGGGGCCTGCCCCCGGTTCGGGAGGTGCAGGAAGGGCCTGGGAAACGGGGGGAACGTTTCAGGGCGTAACGGGGTGGCGCGGCGCAGGGGGCCAGAGACTTGAAGACACGGACCTGCGCGGTGGGGTACACCCCGGACAGGACACCAGTCCATGGAAGGGCACACACAGACCCAGACCCACCCACTCACACCAGGGCCAGTTTTCCCAGGGACCAGTATGTCGTTGGTCTGCTGGAGACATGAGGCCAACGTGAGGAGAACACGCAAGCTCCACCCAGACAGCACCCCAAGGCTCCAGCACTGTAAGGCAGACACGCTAACCACTGCGCCACTGTGCTGCCCTGTAACCCAAGAGCAGAATATATAACAGAGAAGTTCATCCAGTCGAACTCGCTTGGCTGTCCATTAGCACAATCCCTGTGCCCCCACTGTGCCTGAGCTGGACGGCCCAAGGTTCTTTGTTTAGAGAAGAGCTTCCTATTGTCAAACCTAAACCTATCAACCTTTAATTACCATCTCTGTGCCCTGTGACTGGTCTTTTTGTGTCTACAAACAGGGAGCTTGACTTGGCTTTGTTGCTATTCTTCAGGATTTTTAACATAATAATCAACTGAATGATTGCATTTCAGACTACAGTCTACCTGCTTTTGTATAACACATCTTTCTGTGTGGATAGCTG